ATAATAAAAAATATATATTTGTCTGACATGTTACAAAATCTGATTAGAAATGAAAATAGCACATTTCAAAATCTCATTAATAGGCTACTACGTGTAAGGATCGTGTCAGTTACGAAAAATTTCGCATAGAAATTTATATAATAAGATATAGATTTCAGTGACCTAATTTAGATAAAAACTGGAACATAAGCCCATAATGTTGTAACTCTGCAGGTCCATAAAAAGCCTAACCGTAGCAGTTTCCGGTAAGTGGTGTTTTGAAACTCTGTGACGGTCGTCGATTACTTCCACTCTCCCTCCAAATTTACTCCCTACTCATATTGCTGCTGCCTCTCTCAGATAGGGTTAGGGTTTTGCGAATTCAATTCATTGTGGGATTTGTTTGAGAGGAATACCCAGAAGCAGAGGAATCTGCTAAATCTCCATGGCGAGAGCGAGGAGCCGGAGCCGGAGCCGGAGCAGAAGCTATAGCCCCCGTCCTCGTCGCCGGTCGCCACCGCGCGAGCGCAAAAGCTGCGACGATAATCGCCACCGTGATCGCCCTTCTTCTCGCGACCATGAATCCTCTGATCCTTCTGGTTTGCTCATCCGCAATCTCCCTCTCGATGCTAGGTCTTCCTCTCTCCCTATATTATTTATTGAGAAATTTCTGTGCGGGAAGAAGATTGAACAGTCCAGATGTCTGGATTTTTAACGAAATTTTTAATCTTAGGGCTTGTTTTGAAAGCAATTAGAGTTCTTTATGGAGGAATCCGTTTGCAATTGCTTCTCTATACGACCAATTACGGTTCTTATTGGCACGATTTCTTAGCTGTTTGCTCGTTTTGTTTTCAGGCCGAACGATCTAAGGGACTCGTTTGAGCGGTTTGGACCACTCAAGGACATATACCTGCCGAGGAATTATTATACTGGGTATGTGTGAAGCTTTGTCTCTTGTAATCAGATACTTATAGCTATTTCCTAGACGAGCTTTAGCTTTACTGGTTACTTCTTTGAACAATGTGGTCTAGTGTCTGACTGATGGATTTGATTTACATGGATTCTGGGAATTGACATTACAAATGCTCTTGTTCTTAACTTTATGTTTGAGACGGCGAGGTAGAGCTAATTTTTATTGGGAATTTTTTGGTGTTGCTTAAGTAGGTGTTGTTTGACTAGGTACCTTTAACTTTGATCTGATGATGTTTTGTGGTTAAGGGAGCCAAGAGGGTTTGGATTTGTTAAGTACCGTTATGCTGAAGATGCAGCTGAGGCGATGAAGCGAATGAATCACAAAGTTATTGGTGGGCGTGAGATAACCATTGTTTTCGCTGAGGAGAATCGGAAAACTCCACAAGAAATGCGTACAACTAACCGTACAAGGTAAAGAATCCATTTTCTTGTATCTGTATCAGTTGTTCCTGTAAATATATATACGTAAATGTGATGTAATTAATATTCCTCAGTTATCCCCAACTCCATTTTGGTTTTATATAGTGGTCGATATGGGGAGTACAAGAGGACTTCACACAGATCACCAAGGCGCAGATACCGTTGTAAGTAGCTTTGTGGCCTGCTTGTAATTTCTTGATTTATGTCAGGACATTTTATGGTTCGATGTAGGTTAATACCTATGTTCCTTGTGATGCTTGCTAACTGAGTCCTTTCTTACTCATCAGCTCATCCACGTTCAATTTCCCCTGCACGGCGAGAACCAAGGTTTGGCTCTTATCTATTTGGCATTGCTATTGTATATATGCTCACTTCTATTAGACTCTTTGTTTTAGTGGCACTTGGTAGTGTGAATGCAAGTAAGCACTCTTTACTAGCCACTTAGATGGTCTGCCAGTTGTGTGTGGAATACAACGAGAAGGCACAAATTGAGAGACTTCTAAATTGATAAGTCTTGTAACAAAATGTTTCCTTTTGGGTTTTGGTTCCTTTCTAAAACCTAAACCTTGATACTTATTTCACCAATTGTCATCTTCATCTGCTTTGTTTAGCAAGAGCTTGAATACCACTTGGCTAACTGGCTATAAGCGAGGGTGTTTGTGGGTTCCATCCGTATTTAGATGAATTTGACTTATTGTATGCAGTAGAGAATTCCACAACATTAAAGATAGATTTTGTTTCATAAAGTTGGAGAAAAGAGAGAAGTTGGAGCTTTTATGGCGCCTGTTCAATCAATATGGCATTGTAGATCGTAAGACAGTGTCAGAATACTGGTTACAAGTTATTGATGCTAACCTTGTAGAGATGTGGAGAAGGTACAGGTAAAATAAAGAAACCGTTTGTAATTTATTAGAGGATTGGAAGAGTGTGAATAGGGAACAAAAGCCATCCGAAGAACATTCATAAGATGTTTGTAGTCTCTGTGTATTGAATCACAATTGGTTTATATTATAGGCTTAGGAAAATGGTAATTATCTCAGTTTTTCACTGGCACAGGCACAGGCGTAGTAAAGTAAGAGAGGATGATTCGTACTCTCCTCGAAGGTCAAGATCTGTTTCCCGTTCCCCTTTGCCACAAAATGAGAAGGAATACAAATCTAGCTCTGCGTCTCGTAGCCCGAGGAGAAACAGTAGAAGAAGTCCTAGAGAGGAGAGGGCGCTTACTCCAATCAAGTCTCAAAGTCTGTCAAGGTCACGTTCTCGGTCCATCAGGTAAAGAAATCGCTGGCATTGTGAATTTCTTCCCCTCAGATTTATCCCTAATTAAGTGTGGTGAGTGAATATGTGATGGTGAATGTTGTTTCCTTGCAGTCATTGATCTGAAGTTGGGACATAAAGATCTGAAGTTTTACTATGGATGTGTTTCACTGCCTTTCTTTTTGTTCTTTAGGTTTCTGTTTGTTTGTTTATCTTACATAATCAACTTTATTACTGTTGTTTCCCTTGTTTTTGGCAATGTACCTTAATAATTCTCAGAAAGTCTATTTTATCTTAAATATATACTCCAAGTCTAAAAGCTAACCACCAGTTTTACTAAAATTGATGAAGAATCTTATTCACTCTTTAAACGTCAAGTATGGTAAACGATAAGCAGATATCATAAAACAGACTATTCCTCAGAAAATACATTCTGTGCTGATCAAATCATTTGGTGGTCTTTGAAAAGTCGCTACAAAAGCAATTCATTGAGAGGGAAAAAAAAAAGGGAAGAGAGTGAAGCTCATTAAAAAATGAACATTTTGCTTTTATTAGGAGATTCCAAATTAAAACATGAGAATAAATTGTGAATCTCATTTGAGGGGACACACTTTCTCGAACGCTTCTTGCTCTTTCCTACACAGATCAAACTCGTTCGTGTAGTAATACATACATCCAACATAATCATCCATCTCCTTTTGGCACTTCTGGTGAAGGTCCTTCAGCCTGTAAATAATGTTCATCATTCTATCAACAAAAGTAGCAGAGGTATCATATAATGTCTGAATGTGGAGACTCAACATCATTAATCTATGGTCAGGGTGATGCAAAATGATGATTGTATCATTCATCTATGAGTAAACAACTTCTAAACATCAAAACTGAGTCTTAAACCAGCACTCCAAGGGAAGCAAATGGCTTTTAGTTAAGGGAAAATACATGGAAAGTTGCAAACAGAAGCATTGTATGAATCTGTTTCTATGTGGCCAAGATGCGAGAATGATGATATACAAAACAAACCAAGTTCTACAGAGATTGTAGAGTACTATATCTGAGTGAATGGTTACTCCATGACTTGCTGTGCGCCAGTTTCAAGGAAAACATAATGCAAAAAATGCATGGCATGGACAACAATCAATGATATCATAAAGATGAAATTGCAGAGCACATATAGCTCTTCTAAAACAATATGCAAACATTGTATAACTGATTTGTCATATTCAAAATCTCCGGAGCTCTATGACCGACTCTATGACTTCCATAACTATTTCCGTGCTTAGCTAAGCCTGTTGGAAAGACATTCCACTGAATTGTCACACCTAAGTTCATATACTTTTGCACAGTTAGTAAAATACAGTTTTGCAGAAAAATAACAGTTTCTGATTTCGTGAAGTTTTAAGCCTTAGTCCAGAAAATCGACTCCAAATCTTTACCCATTGCTGAATTTATAAAGTCAAACAATCTGATATTCAATATCTTCATCAAAACAAACACAATCAACCAAAGAAAGCCAAAGAACGAAGAAAATGAGGTAAGATACGTACAAGCCAAGCACGCAGCGAGTGACCTCACGACCCTTGTCGAGACATTTCTCGGGGTTTGGATCATTCTTCTTACATTTGAGGAACGCTACGTTCTCCGGCATACACCTCATGCCTATATGCTTCGCCGACGCCGTCAACACCGCAGAAGTAGGGATCGGGTTCCCCGTCGCGTCCACCGCACTCGACATGGTTCAGAAATTAGAAATCCCTAAAACCGAATCCCAAGGGAGAAAAAACGAAAATCAATCCAATCTAATCGCAATCTCACAGAATCAAAATCTGAGAATCAACAATACAAGCTAAAAAGGAAGATAACGAATGAAAGAAGCAGAGAACGAAGATCGTCATACCTTTTCAACGGATCGGTTTGGATCTTCTTCTCCACTTGAATAGC